AAAACAAAAAACCCCAATTCACGGTGTCTCGTAACTTCCATGGTATAAATACTCCTACCATGGCCAATCCAAGCTACCAATAGTTTAATAATCTGCTCTGGAAATCCTGACTATTTAACAATCCCTATCTAAGCTGAGCTGGCTCCAGTATACCATGGAATGCATTCATTAAAATGTAGTAGAAGCTGTTTGATACGTTAGGTGAAAAAAGTTTGTAACACGTCTGTATCATATTTCTGAGAAAAAAAATACGCACATGGAAAAAAATAAACCAAAATAGTGTATTTTGTGTTAATACTAATTCTAAGTGATATAATTTTATCTTCATTTATCTGTATTTTCAACTTTTTTCCCATTTATGTAAGATATTTCTCAGAAAAAAAAAACGAAGATTCTCTTTCTTAGTTGCAATAATTTAAAAATGAACTATTTCCCACAGCATGTCTCAAAAAAATAAAAAAAAAAAAGGAAAAAGGAAAGAAAAATCCCTGGACCTGCTCAGTGAGATCAGCTGCACAATGAGAAGCCCCCAGGATGAGAAGATTTCCAATACCTCATAACCAAGAAAAAGAGGGGAGAGGTACATCCTGCGGCTCCAGCCCCAGTGTTTGCTGATCTCCTGGGGAGGAGAAGTAAAGGCTGATTACTCACAGGTCCTGCAGAAAGGCAAGGTGGGAAGTGGGCCTGGAGATAACTCAGTCCCAGGACAAGAATTAGTCTGTTTATAGAATTGGATCCTGAAAAGAGCTATTTCTTAACCCAGGACTCTTCCTAGGACCTTCCCACCAAACTCTTAACCATTACATTAAACTAATACTAATAGTTGTCAAGTTTAAGTCTTGTCTGCAATGAAACACGTTACAGTCATCAAAAATATCCTGGAAATGCATCCATAGGGAAAGATGTTCCGAAGATTAAATTAAAGCAAGTTATAAAAGCAGCATGTAAAAGATGAACCCATTCAAGTAAAAAGGGTTAAACATACGAAAAGAATACAGTAAGTGATTAGGTAGTGGTTGTCCATAGATGGTTAGGTTTATGCTATTCTGGTCTTTTTGTCTGCCTAACTTTTGATTTTTATTCTGTAGTGAGGATAGTTATTTTTAAGAGTAATAAGGAGGCCAGGTGTGGTGGCTCACACCTGTAATGCCAACATTTTGGAGGGCTGAGGCAGGAGGATCGCTTGAACCCAGGAGTTAGAGACCAGCCTGGGCAATATGGGAAGACCCCATCTGGCAGGAGAATGTGTGTGTGTGTCGGGGGCTGGTGGGGGGGGGCGGGGGTAATGAGGAAAACAAAATAAAAGCAAAGTAATCTTAAGTGAGAAGAAAGATGCAACAACCTCCCTTACTGGATCTTCAGGCTGCTAAGCTTGTGGAAGACATAGACAATTCCTAATTCCTACTCCCTGCCACTCCCGTGAAAGTGAATAGCAAAGGGGCTTCTATAACTTCTCAAAGCAAGAATTCCCCGGGAACACAGGGAGCCTTCTATTATGTAAAGCTTTTGCTGGAGCTGAGGAGAGGAGGCAGAAGGTTAAGGGAGGGTGGAGAGAGGAAAGAGAGAAAAGAACAAATCAAAAGGAAAAAGACGAGACTGAGAGGAAATCTACCTTTTCCCTCCAAGTCAGCAGCACTAAGTCAGTAGTCCTCAAACGTGAGCGTGTACCAGAACCACCTGGAGGGCTTGTTAAAACACAGACTGCTAGAGCCTACCCCTGAGTTTCAGGGTGGTGGCGGTCAATGGTGCCAGGGAATCTGCATTTCTAACATCTCCCCAGGTGACCACACTTTGAAAACTTCTGCTCTAAGTCATTCTCTGAGTAGACAAAGAAGAGTAGGAGCACTGCACAGGTATGAGACTGAGATAAAAAATCGGTGGCAAACCAAGTGTTTGCAATTCTTTTAAACAACAAGGCTTGGTTTCCCCTTTGGATAGGGGAAGATAGCATCCCTGTCTCCACAGAAGCAATATGAAGATTCTCATGGAAAGAGAGAAGAAACTGAGAATATCCTGACAGCTGATTATACACCAGATGCTGTAAAAGAAGAGATACAAGCTGGCAACTAATCCTGCCCTGGGAAGAGCAGATACCTGGAAACGTTTTAGGAAGTACTGCTTTGACCTAGCAGCAGAAGGGGTTTCCCTTCCCTTGAATTTGACAGTTTCCTTACTGTGGTCACCAGAAGGCCAAGAGGAATGTGGAACAACCTGTTTTAGTAACTCTAATCTTTGCTCTTTCACTTGGCAAAAGCCGCCTGGCAGCCTTCTGGTTGCCTCACAGGTGTAACCAGGGTTCCCCTCCTTCCAGGAACTGTAACACAGATAGTTCTGCCAGGAGCAAAAGATGCAAAAGACATGCTCTATTAGTCACTGACTAGAGCAGGCAGGGAGGCAAGCCACCCGTGGGCCTCACCTACAAGGGAGAGGGAAGACACTTGCAGAGCCTCAGTGAAACATCCAGCACTACGGGGGCTGGAATAATGGCCTGAGGGCAGCCAGTTATGATTATTATCTGGGCAAAAATAGTCTGAAGAAGAACCAGCAAAGCCTCAAACTTAAAAGATGTGCAATAGGCCGGGTGTGGTGGCTGATGCCTATAATCCAAGCACTTTGGAGGCCAAGGCGGGTGGATCACCTGAGGTTGGGAGTTCAAGACAAGCCTGACCAACATGGTGAAACCTTGTCTTAAAAAAAAAAAAAAAGAAAAGAAAAGATGTGCAATAAATATTGGCCAAAAAGAAGAGAAAAATGTTTCTGATGAGATTGCTAGCCAAAGTTAAGGCACAGTCAAGGAAAAACAATTAGCCTTTTTTTTTTTTTTTTTTTTTGGATGATGTAGGTTCTCAGGATCCAAACTTCAAAAATCGGGTTGCTATTCTCTAGGTCTTGTACCTTGTGTTGCCCCTCAGAGAAGGATAACTAGGGGATGCATAGGCTTCTTGCCAGTAATGTTTTTCTTTTTTTCTTTTGAGATAGATTCTTGCTCTGTCACCCAGGCTGGAGTGTAGTGGCACAATTTTGGCTCATTGCAACTTCTGCCTCCTGGGTTCAAGTGATTCTCCTGCCTCAGTCTCCCCAGTAGTTGGGTTTACAGGCATGTACCATCAAGCCCAGCTAATTTTTATATTTTCAGTAGAAACAGGGTTTCACTGTGTTGATGAGGCTGGTTTCGAACTCCCAACCTCAGGTGATCTGCCCACCTGGGCTTCTCAAAGTGCCGGGATTGCAGGCATAAGCCACTGCATCCGGCCTCTTGGTAGTATCTTCTGTTGAATCTCCTTTTATGTAACACAAATAAATTATAATACTAGAAGTGTTACGTGGTTTTTTTTATTGATTTAAGTTTTTTTAAAAACAAAATTCCCACCATACATCTAGATCACAAGTTGTCTTCCCCAACAGTGACAAATCCACAGCACTGGGGCACCGTTGACAATGGTTTGAGCCATGGCCATTAAATTGCTTTGGAACTTACATTTACAGTGTTACCACTTAGTGGATCCACAGATATTTAGCTGCGAGTCCCCTGATGATGGGGTCTATGTCTAGTATTACAATTGCTGCTATGGTTAATAGCTGATCTTTTTTTAAAGCATTTTATATGCATGGCGTTGTTCAAGGCCCCTTACTTACATTGTCTTAACCAATCTTCACAGCAGCACAATGGAGTAAACACCGTTATGATTCCTTCTTGTCCACTCTCCCAAGCACGTAGCACAGGGCTGGCATGCAGTCAGCATAAATATTTGCCAAGTAAATTAAAACACTGTTACATAAAAAGTGATGTTCAAAGATGGAATGACTATGAAAGGGTAAGATTCAAGAACAGGGACATGGCTGGGCATGGTGGCTCACACCTGTAATCCCAGCACTCTGGGAGGCAGAGGCGAGAGGACTGCTTGTGTGTCCAGGAGTTCGAGAGCAGCTTGGGCAACACAGTGAGGCCTTGTCTCAAAAAAAGAAAAGGAAAGAACAAGGACAAAAAGAGGGGGGAAAGGGGACCTGAATTAAGTTCAACCAGAGAGAAAAACATGAATAGATATTAACAAAGAAAACATGTACAAGCTGCTCTGGGAGAGACAGATGTGATGATGGACTCTGCCTTCTTCAGTCTTGGGACAGAAGAGTCCCTTCAAACACACCAGATAGGTTTAATTCCAAATGGCTCCAGGCGGTGCAGTTACTCCCAAGAACAAATCATTCCACAGTCAACACCCGATTTTCAGTTTGGGTACTATCTCTACCCTTCTCAGTTGGGTCAGTCCTGCCTCTCTGTTCAGAGGAAGACAAGTCACGTGCCCAGGAATGAAAAAGTTGAGAAAAGAGTATCAGAAAAGGATGCTAGTTCTGATCCGGCTACTAAGAGTTTAGATCTCCATTTTCTCCTGTATGAAAGGAGGAGGTGGAATTAAATGATTCCTGGTGTTCCTTCTGGCTATAGCTTTCCGTGATTTAGTCCCTTCTGAAAGAGTACTCACTGAAAGAGGAGGAGCACTTCAAAAAGATGGGCAATTGCTTCTTGGCCTTTTGGCTAAGGTCAAGTGCAAAAAGATGGGCAATGTTTTTAGGGTAGAAGAGAACAGTATGAAGATTCTCAAAAGGAGTACCACAAAACAGAATATCGACAACACTACTCCAGAAGGTATACCCAGTGTTGCATGGGCTCAAGAGTAAAGTCCCCAACATTCAACTTGCTTTTTTTAAGTTATTTTGCATTAAAAAATGCAGACTCACAATTTGAATCTTTTTATCCCAAGGTAGGACTTACGAACCTACACCCTCTGGAACCATTGGGGCTATATGCCTACAGGATTAGCAGTGATTGTTGGACATGCAGCTGTACCACAGGAGGGATATTCAGCTTCAGTCTCTGATCTCCACCTCACCCCACCACCGTCAGACACTCCCATTTCTACCAGGTTGTGGTTTGACTGGCAGTCAGTACTCTTATCGAGGTACTACTAATTGATACTGTATCTAGGTAATAAATTATACACCTATTACCATTCAGTAGATCAGAGAATAAGACAGGGAAAGAGAAGCATAGGATTTGAGTTGAAAACAGTAAATATGGGCCGGGCGCGGTGGCTCAAGCCTGTAATCCCAGCACTTTGGGAGGCCGAGGTGGGTGGATCACGAGGTCAAGAGATCGAGACCATCCTGGTCAACACGGTGAAACCCCGTCTCTACTAAAAATACAAAAAAAAAATTAGCTGGGCATGGTGGCGTGTGCCTGTAATCCCAGCTACTCAGGAGGCTGAGGCAGGAGAATTGCCTGAACCCAGGAGGCGGAGGTTGCGGTGAGCCGAGATCGCGCCATTGCACTCCAGCCTGGGTAACAAGAGCGAAACTCCGTCCCCAAAAAAAAAAAAAAAAAAAAAAAAAGAAAACAGTAAATATGCGTGCTACTTCTTCCCAGATTGAGTATATCCCTGGTTGATTCTGCTGAGACATTTAATTAAAAAAAGAAAAGAAAAAGTAATAGAGTACATTGCTGGGAAGCAAAGAAAACCAAGAGACATATGGCAAAAGCATACAGCAGGCCCTCTGTATCCACACGTTCTACATCCTTGGGTTCACTAAACTCTGATAGAAAATATGTATTTGTGGGATGTGAAACCCATGGGCACAGAGGTCTGTCTGACTTTTCATATCTGAAGGTTCAGTAAGGCCAACTATGGAGCTTGAGCATCCTTAGAGTTTGGTACCTGCAGGGGGTCCTGGAACCAATCCCCTGTGGTTACTGAGGGACAATTGTACATGCTAAATAGTCAATTCAGTTTTCACCATCATAATGGCACTTCTGAGGCCGGGCATGGTGGCTCATGCCTGTAATCCCAGCACTTTGGGAGGCCGAGGCGGGTGGATCACTTGAGGTCAAGAGTTTGCAATCTGCCTGGCCAACATGGTGAAACCCCGTCTCTAAAAAAAATAAAAAACAAACAAACAAACAAACCAAAAAAACACACATAAAGGCACTTCCTAGAAGATGAAGAAATAAAAGGATACACATCAAGTTCCCAAGAACTTTATCCCTTGGATGGTGAATTTTTATTTTTGTTTTTAAACTACAGGCACATGTTACTACCCCCAGCTAATATTTTAATTTTTTGTAGAGATGGGGTCTCCCTATGTTGCTCAGGCTGGTCTTGATCTCCTGGGCTCATGGAATCCTCCTGCTTCAGCCTCCCAAAGTGCTGGGATTACACTGGATGGTGAATTAAAGTAAAAAAAACTGTGAATGCCACAACGGTTTCTCTTTGAAGTTACCAACACCTTTCTAAAGGAACTTGGTGTCACAGTTTCACATACTAAACTCTGTTTATAAAATGGTCTATATTAATTTAAGGGCCAAGGAAGAGACATTTACATCAAGTCATAAAGTTGCTGGTGGGGAATTCTGGAATAAAATAGGATAAAAGAAAATTATATAGATAAAAATGACTTTGGATGCCCTGTGATTCCTCATGACATCAGAGTCAAGCAGGAAGCACTACCCATGTAAAGAAAGAATAATAGAAACTGATCCCTGAACCTCCCAGTGAAGTGATTCAGCTTGGGTAAGTCCCATCTCCTTCCTCTCTACCTCTGAGGTGTTGAGGCGGCTGGACTTTCTTAGTCTAAATGTGACGACACAACGGCACATGGGCTTGGGATGCAAGGACACCGCCGATACAGCAACAAACAAGTAAAAATAAACCCCATGCATGCTGTGGGGAAGCAGAGGAGGATGGTAATCAGGAAAGGCTTTTAAAAGGGGACTTTTGTCCATATGCCTAAAATTAACTAAAGTTTACTAGAAACTTAAGTCTCTTGGCTGGGCATAGTGGCTCACGCCTGTAATCCCAGTGCTTTGGGAGGCTGAGGGGAGTGGATCATTTGAGGTCAGGAATTCAAGACCAGCCTGGACGACGAGGTGAAATCCCGTCTCTACTGAAAATACAAAAAATTAGCTGGGTGTGGTAGCGCACACCTGTAGTCCCAGCTACTCGGGAGGCCAAGGCATTAGAATTGCTTGAACCTGGGGGCAGAGGTTGCAGTGAGCCAGTTGCCTCACTGCACTCTAGCCTTGGTGACAGAGGGAGACTCCATCTCAAAAAAAAATAAAATAAAATAAGTCTTTAAAACTGGCTTCTACCAAGAAAGGTCAGAAAAATCTCTGGGCTCCTTGATCACAAATTTCAGTGCAATTCATATCTTAGTAATTTCCAGGTGATCTGAAATCCTTTCTAAACTGACCCACTTTTTCAGGCTTGAAGGACAGTCTAGGCAGTCAAAGCAATCCCAAAACTAACTCCCCACAGAGTGTGACATCAGTGATTTATCACCCCTTAGACACGTGCATGCCATTATCTTGCTTTAAGTTGTTTTTCACCTTCAAAACGACAGTTATAAATGCATTTGCCTTCTTTCTTCCTTCTCACCTGATATCTATTTCCCTTCTATCCTTGTTTTTCAGTTTTCCTGCCTTTCAACACCAGTTTCAAGGTAGGGAAGAAATATCATCTATCATCAAACCCTCTTGCTATACTCATACTCAATAGAATCAAAAAGGCTAAGTGCAGTGGTTCATGCCTGTATTCCCGGCACTTTGGGAGGCTGAGGCAGGAGGATCACTTGGGCACAGAAGTTTGAGGCCAGACTGGATAACATAGTGAGACCCTATCTCTACAAAAAATAAAAAATATTAGCCTGGTGTGGTGTCACATACCTATGGTCCCAGCTACTTGGGAGGCTAAGGTGGGAGCCGGGAGATCCGGGTTGCAGTGAACCATGATCACACCACTGCACTGCAGCCTGGGCAACAGAGTGAGACCCTGTCTCAAAAAAAAGTGGGGGGCAGAGGCGGAGGGAAAAACACAAGACAGTTGCTTTCCATACTCTTCCAAATCAAAAGTTCTGTGAAATTCATCCATATTCTCCTCAAATGTGATATTTAAAGACCACACAGGTACTTTATCTAAATCCCCGATTCTGACTCTAGTAATGACAATTACAACCACTCAGGATTCATCAGAGAAATTCCAGTGTAGTTCACTTAGCTTCAAGTCAAAAATAGCAAAAACATTCCACTTCCTCTTGGTTCTTTTACTTTTGTCCTTTCCTCAGACTTTAGAAGGAGGTATCCTTTAAATCCTGCATGACTAGAAGCCAGATGGTCAAGGCCCCTTGCCTTGGGAACCACAGCAGTGGGCTCTGAGTCATTGCCTCAGAGTAAAGCTACTCAAGCAGCACGAGACAGCCAAGTTCTCCCTGAGAGAGAAGGGATAGAGACCAAACAACCAGCAGCCTTTATCTAAAAGGTGGAGTGTGGAGGCTGCCTTTCCATTGTATTTTCTCTAAGACCAGAGGAACTGGTTCAGCTGAAAAGGGAGGCAGTCAGTCCCTTGCCGTACACACCCTCCACTTGAGGGACAGCTTCAAGACTCTCCCCTCAGCCCTTCTGGGTGTTGCAATTGGGCAAACCTCTTCCCAAAGAGTCCGTGGGCTCTGGGCCTTGCACTCAGGCTCAACACAGACCTTATCTTTGCAATCTGCTTTCAAATTGATGCCTACAGGCTGAGTGGAGACTGTTTCTGGTTGAGGTGAGCCCAAGGGAGCCCCAGGGCATGCCCAACACCTCAGACACAAGACCACCCAGCCTAGCCACAGTCAGGAGTTTTCTTGTAGAGTGGCTAACTCACCTCCCACACCATCGTCCTCTGATGAGCCCCCGTTTTTCACCTTCACACGTTTCAGATCTAGGGGAGTGAGGAGTAAAGCAGGAGATGGCTCCGGGTACCCACCTTGCCACCCTTCTTTCCCCTTTTAAACTGCTCTCATTGCTTGGACCTCTGACTGCCTCAGTCTTCAACTGAGGGTCACTGGCCTTCTTCAGCTCCGGCTCCTATGATAGCCACTCGCACACCTCCTCTCCTAGCCACAGAGCCAGCAGGCAACGCCTTCACAGACCCCAGGCAGGAGGCTCCCAGCAGGCCCTGGAGCCAGCTCCCCAGCCCCTCCCCTGCATCACAGCCAGAGGGGAAGTCAGGGCAATTCCCCAACAAAGCAAGGGCCAGCAAGACCCCCAGAGAGTTACCCTGCAGGGCAGCTGGGGCTGTCACACATCTGGACCCAAGAAGCCAGCTGCAGGGGCTTCAGATAAGCACCACCCCAGCCCCCACATTCCGTCTGACAGGAAGCTGACTCCCAAGAAATCCTGCAGAGAAACCCTTCGTGGGGAAAGCAGGACAGGCTTCGAGCAAACCCACCCACTCAGAGTCCCTTTGGCCATTTCCTGCTTCCTCTGCACTTCATTCCTCCTTTCTCTCAATTCCCAGCCTTGGTTTTGAATGTTTCTGAATCAGACTGAGGGGGTCCCTGGCCCCTCACATTCCTTATCCATCTGAATTCTGGTTTTTAGAGCTCAATACCACATGGTTCCAGGCTGTTCTAATTAAGTGCAGAGACTGAGACAATCTAATGCTAAGATTATGACCTTAATGGCTCAGAGGAAAAGTCCTTCAGATTTAATCAATTTTGGTAACCTTAAATCTGCTCCGGACAGAAAATTTCTCAGGGATATGTTGTGTGTTTGTGGCACAGAGGATTCGGTGAAGGGTGGCCTAGAGGAAGTTTATTCACCAGCAACTCAGCCAGAAAGTTCCATCAGGATTTTACATAGATGAGGATGGGATGGGAGACTGGGGTATTGTAAATGGGGGTGGAGGCCAGAGCCCCAATAGGTGAAGGTTTCTAAAAGGGCAAATGTTAAGTAGAGGCTATATTCTCATTTTTACCCACACAAAAAAAGTCTTCCCCCACTCTCCTAGTGTGTGTTAAAGTGACATGAACAGCCTTAGGAGCATCTGCTTATTTTATTTGGGAAGGTTCTGATTTCTTTTTCAGGAGAAGCTACCCAATTGAGAACCCTCCCTCTGTGATCCTTCTCACCCTCAATTTGCCCGCTGCTCTGGGGGAAATTAGGTGCTTCCTGCAAGTCTCTTCTACAACATTAAGATTAGCAGAATAATTAAATACAGTCCTAATTGAGCACAGAGAGGGTTCTTGGTTAATTAATGAGCCACGCTCCTGCCCAGAGCTGCAAATCCACGCTGGTCTGTGAAAACCCAGGCAGAGAAAAAATGTGCTCCAGTCCCATAAGACAATTGTCACTTGGCAAAAATAGTTCCTGGTGTAGAGACAGGTGTCAAACACATTCCTGTAGCCAGGAGTCACACCTTAATCCCGCAGCTGAGACCCACGTGTAAATGAGAAGTGAGGTACTTCTCCTCCACTACAGGGACACACAAGGCTCTGCGTCCCCTTCCCACCTCCGCGTCCGCACCCCACTCCCCAGCAGGCTGGCGCCCTGACATCCAAAGTCGCTGCTAAGTGACTTTCCAAACTGCAGCTCCGCATCCAAGTCAGAACCCCACCGCGAGCCAGCGACCGCGCGCGTTCTGCCTGGGAAACTGTGAAACAGAT